TAAATGTTTAGCAACCTGGTTAGATGGGATACGATATGTAAATGAAGTTGGATATAACAAACGTATACCATCATGTACATCATTGTTACAAGATATATAGCTTTTAATATACTGTTTAATGTTTAATAAGTTTGTAGATTATGTACAGTTAAAGAATAATATTCTTAAGGTATGTGGACTAACTCAAAACAACGCGCCAAATGAGTATTTGATGAATTTTGTCCTAAAAGAGATATAAATAATGGAACATGTGCACATTGCAAGAGATATAACACATATTGAGCTTGGCGTCAAACAGGTGACCCTCAGAAGACAACACAAGCATGGACAAGCGGAAATAAGGATGACAACAATTGCATTAAGAAATTTCAACTTAAAGCTACAAAATACGTAGATATAACTGAATGGTTTCCTTTTAATAGTTTAATTAATATTCAAATAATTGGTAAAGGGAATATAAATAATCACGTACACCATAATGCGTAGTTGCACTTAAAACTTTATCTTGTTCACGAAAGAATTTTTTAAGAGAAATATGTTAATTTATGATCTAATATAAATAAATTATAGACAAACTATTGACATTAGAAATTTTGTTTCAAATAACAAGTTTAAAAATTACACCGAATTCAGATTAGCTGGTAATAATCTTGAAGTATATGGACTAACCCAAGACACAATTAGTAACAAATATTTGATGGTATTTCAATATGCAAATAGAGGAAGTCTTCATGATGTTCTATCTTCAATTTTAGAAATCTTAATTGGAAAAGTAAATTAAAACAGCTTGTAGATATATCTAAATATTTAATAAGTGTACACAGAGACGAACATGTTCATGGAAGGTATTAGAACTAATTGAGCCCGGTAATTTAACCAATTGGATATATGTCCAATTGGTCTGATTTCTGACAGCGACTTGTCCAATTGACAACACTATTACATTACATATACATACATGTCTTTAGATTAATTTTGCTTTAGCTATAATAGCATATAGGTGCAAAAAAATCAATGGTTACCGTTTCCTAATTATTACAAGTTCTTTGAATATTAATTTAATAAAAATTATTTGTATATTTATACATGAATAGATTGTTAATAGTAAATAATTATTAACCTATTGTTTGTATCTTCATATAAACCTAACTATAAGGCTTATTATAATTGCAAATTATCTTAAATCCTTTCTGCCACTTAACAGAGATTAAAGATTTTTACTCTAATATGTGCACCTTATATTCGTTGACACATATTTATTTTAATTTTATAATTCGCACATTCGGAATAAAAGATTTTGCTAAATTAATAGATTGCCATGAAACATTTAATTACAATATATGAAAGATACAACAATATAAATTTTAAAATAAGTTCAGTCACAGTATTTTAACAGCTTCTAAACAAAAAAAAATGCATTGATAAATAGTATAATATATGCGACTAACAAATCGGGAATGAAAAACATATATATATATATATATATACCATAATCAAGAATACATCATTGAGGAAAATATAGGGAAAAAAAGTTGTTCTGTAATATACCATTGACTATCATGAAATACCAAGAAAGTTCCATAGGATAATAATGCGTAGGTCCTTGAGAAACGATGTTCATCTGAAATTCCGAGGGGTAATGACTTCCACAGGAGTTTACAAAATGATTGATATCTTGCACATTGTGATAAAGGGATGAATTGAATAACTCACTATTATTAAATAGTACACCGTCATGAATATTATTAACAGCACGATATTTATCATCTTGATTTATAACATTCTTGTTGTCAACTCCTTTAGGACCACGTTTTCTACTAGATTTAATAAAAGTACATTGGAGATTTTGTTTTGCACAATTTTTACAAGCATTTGCAACATAAGAACATCGTATCCGTTTATTTCGACAATTAATGCACGCAATAGTTGCATGAGTACGTTTTGGTTTATCTTTCATGGTGATTTTAAATATATTTATTATTTGCAATAAAAAAAAAGGAAACAATTCACAGTGTAAAAGATCCAAAGACAAGAGAGAACTTTAATAAATTCGACATTTATAAGTGTCAGATACAATAAAAAGATTTTCAATTGAAGATATGATCTTATGTTTGTTTACATGATTTGCATTTGTCAGGCGGATGTAACTGGAATAAAGTGTAAGAGAAAAAGAATAGCATGCAAAATAAAATGCAAATGACATACAAAAACAATAAGGAATAGCGGATGTAACGAAAAATTAAACGTCGGATGTAACAAATGACAAAAAAATGTCGGATGTAATGGTGTCAATGTCGGATGTAACAATGACGAGTAAAAGGCTGATATAAAGGGGCATTGACGTGAGTTCCGACATTCCGGTAGGAAAATGGTATTATTGTGTAACATTCGCGATTACGAATGTAAATATGTAACATTCACTAATACAGTATTACAGTAGGAATGGCGGATGTAAAACGTGTGCATAGCATTTGCTACACCAATAAGAATATCGAAGATAAACACATTAAGCATACGTCATCGATAATAATATCGATGTAAAACGTGTTGCATCCGTAATTGTGATAAGAATAGTTGGTGTAAATGTGACATCCGCATAGCAATGTAAACGTTAGCATACTTTATATAGCTATAGGAATGCCGCATACTAACGAGTAGTGGTGGTTAGTGCTCCGATCGGGTTGACCCGAATGACCCGAAACCAACCTGGTTATAATGAATTTACTATATAGGTCATAACCCATCTAATAAATTTATTATAACCGGGTTGGTTTCGGGTCATTCGGGTCAACCCGATCGGAGCACTAGTGGTGGTCATGACGACAGTAATGGCGGATTAAACGTGTAGTACTCATTATAACAATAGGGGTAATTTGTCAATATAGCAATAGGTGTGTAGTAAATATAGAAGCTGAGTCTTGCGATTTTATGAATATTTATGAATATTTATTAAGACATATTACATATTTGACTATAAATCTTATTCAAGTATCCAGTTTTACCGCTGATTTTTTATAATATTAAACGTTTGAGTGGCAATGATATTGGTTTAATATTATAAAATTTTGCCTTTTTACCTTTTTATAGTTAGCCACGCAACTGACGAATTTTACAGTTATGCAATATAGGGATCATGATCTATTAACAGGTACAACGACATTACCGCAGGCGGGAAGAGTAAACAACAAAAACGTTTACAAGATGAGAATCATCCGCTATTAATGCCAATATATATAATGCCTGTTTTCATGTGTCTTGTTTTTCAGTTGCAATTTTCCTAGTCATTTTTCCTTTTTCCCAGAACTTCGCAACCAGTTCTTTTTTTTTTTGTACTCGCAATTGTACAAACTGCAGTTACTCAATTATCTTATATTTTTCTGTATTTCACTTAAAAAACAATAAGCCATGTCAAGAAAACGTACGAAGGAGGCATGCACTTTGTGTAGAAAACAAAAGAAAAAGTGCGATGGTTTAAAACCCTGTCAGAGGTGCAATATTAAGAAAAAATGTTGTACTTACCAATCTGAGTTAAATGGTAATTGTTAAAATACTAAAATTTTCATGAATGAAATAAACGCTAATAAAATCTTTATAATATCTAGGTCAGGCACCATTAACGGGTTCTGATGCACAACCTTCGTACTATTATCTAAATGGTTATATTTTTCCACGAGGTAAATATAATAAAGTTAGTTCTAATGACGTAGTATAAATCATACATCACATATTTTTAACAAACACTTTTAATTCCCTTTAAAAAAATATCAGATTGGGATTCAGTGTATCAACCGCTTCCTTCTATTTTTGGGACCAAGCGTTGATTTTATCTTTATGGTCTTATTTAAATAAGAAATTGTCTAAATGAGAAAGAGCTTTTTCAATATATGCTATATGTTTTTAAGATAATATGTATGATAGAAAATTTTGGGTTTTATGCTTTTTCATGGTTTCTTTTATATCATTTACGGAATAAATTTTTTCGCCATTCTGGTCTATGTTTTTATATTCATATTTCCTAAAAAAGAAATTTCATTTTGGCTTTAAAAAAAATGTTAATTCTATTTTGATTCGAGTTATAGTTACCCAACAAACAACTATGATGGCATTCACATTACTAAAAATGGAGAACCGTCAATGTTACACAAGTATGTTGTAATATCACATGTTTACCAACCAATCAAATTGAAAAATATTAAAGAAACGAAAAAAATGAATCAAAGCGAATTAATTCAAATCTAAATATAAAATTCAAAATAGATATTTTAAATATTACTGTAAATGAAACGTCTTTATAATTTATGTAATCTATTAATCATTAACAGTAATCTATTCATTCAATTTCTATACCTATTCAATATTTAACCTTTTGCGCATTTAATGCCATATTTAATATAAATATCTAGCATGAACTCTCACAATATAGCAGTATTATTATTCTATTGGAATATTTATTTGTAACTACATTATTAACTTATTATCTAAAAATTATATAAAACATAATAGTCGGTTGGTTTTAAAAGAAATTTACTCAGTTTAGTGATCTCATAACCTTCACAATACTTATTTTTAAACATACCTTTGCTAGGTAAAACGTATCATAAAAGTTGGAGGATTAAGAAGGATTAAAGAAATATGTTATAATACAACACGAAAGCTTCGAGTTTGTTTAATGAATTAATCACGTTTCATAGAACAGATAAGTTACGCCGGCTTCCTAAAAAAGTATTGTAAAACAATATACAAAAATCTTCTGTAAGAATTTTGTGCAACATAGACAGTTCCACCTGTTACACTTAATGGCCTACATTTATGAGTCTACACTAAAACAAATAAGAATTCGATTCTTAATACGTATTCATATTATAATATATAATTAACGCTTCGGAAAATTTCTGACTTTATTAAAAGCATGAAAACCAATGTTTTCATAAATATTGAGCACTTTAATAAAACAAAGTTAAGCCTACCACTCAATACAGCCATATTGACACATCATTCACTTTTAGTAATACAGTAATGAATTCAACCTTATCATGATATTAGTAAATAACATAATATGGTAAGTCATTAGACTAACAATAAAATTAAAGATCGAAATTCGAAAAATACTAACATTAAAAAAAATAAGCCAATGATTGCTCCATCAAGTCACTAAACATGCTTCTAACACACCTATATGCACGTATTAGCAACGTAACACATTGAGGCGAACTTATGAAATACCATAAAATTTGAAATTTTGGACTTTGAATAAAATAATAATGATTTTTAACTGAAATAACTACTTCTCCGGGTGAGGGTGCGTTATTATACAGTAATAAATTTTTTATGTCTAATAATATATAGTTATTGGATGCTTCGCATCCAATAACGGGAGTTATTTGTAAAAATACTCCATTATCTGGTTTAAATTTAATGTGCCAGCTTCTGGGCCCCGTAGGGGCCCAGAAATGGTACGTTAAATTAAAGCCAGATAAGTAAGTTATTGGTGCGTAGCATTCAATAACGGTATTATCCGATAACTTACGACGACTGGACCATCGGAATGACTCGAGATGGTTTGCTGGTAATTACGTTATCATCAAATAATGAAGTTATTTGGTGAAACGTAATTGCCATCAAAATAACTCGAGTTATTCTAATAGTCCGATCATAGTAAGCTATCGGATAATATACTTTAAAGGTAGGGAAAATGGTTTAACATGTAGGAAATATGAGCTTGACGCGTTATTAATCAAGATTAGAAAAAACTTTTTTAGGGTTTAACATTGATTTGTCAATGATGTAATTTGGTAACTAAAATTACAATTAGACCAAATACTCGGATTTGGTATACGAATTTTAGCTTAATTTCACAAATTTGTCGTGATAAGTATTCAATAATTTGCTGGAGTGTAGTGAAAAATCTAATAGAGAACAATATTCAGTCTATTTTATCCGAATCTGAATAAACTGTTAAAAAGTTCGGTGTTACAGCTGTTTTCATTAATTTTGGGCCATCTGGTAAAAGATTGACCAAAATGATGGCAAAGGTTGTTCTTACCAACCAGAAGATCTTGACAAAAAAACATAAAAGTTTCGAATATAATGCAGGATTTCATAATAAATATGGGTGCTAATAAAAAAATTTCAATATGACAAGAATTGATTGTTCAAAAAAATATTTACGCAAGCTCTTATTTCAAACAACCAAGGTTTTATTACAGGTTTCGCATACCAATTTCGTACACCCCTATTAATAACGTATCCACCTCAAGTAATAAATAGTAGGTACGTCCTTGATAGGGATGTACAAATTGGTATGTGGTTGTTTGGAGTAATAGATTGTTTGAATGACTGCAACTAAATGAAATATGAGTGCTGCGCGGAAAAAACCTGTAAGTAAAGAATCCAAGTTTTATCAGATGTCATTAATTAACGTACATTCAATATAAATAATAATACAGCACTCATATCATTATCGCCATTTGGCAAAGGTTCATACAGTAAATTCTCTTTAAGTGCAACTCTTAATAAAGTTTTCACTAAATGTAAGAGCTTTTTTGGCTCCAAATATGTAAGGCAATATAAATTTTATGTCTATAAATGCAACTTCTCTCTAAATGCAAGATTTTATTTTGTTTTTATACTAAAATTTTTATAGGCACGGCGAGTTGCATTTAGAGAGAGATCATTATATAATCGATCCTTACCGAAATTAAAAACTTATCGAATCGGCCAAACAATCATTCGGTCAATTTTTTATCAGATGTCTCAGTATCCAAAAAACAATGAAACCAGCTGTAACCTAGAGATTCGATAAAGGTTGCTATGATTTCTGCTTTAACTATTTAAAGCTTATGTCGATGGCACAAACTATAACACTTTCTACTATATTCTGATTTAAACGTTAAATACACTTTTTAAACTTTATTCATTCTCTTAATACGGCCGAAGAATTTAGTATAGAAAATGTTGGCAGTACATAAGTTATGCGCGTACCAGAAACTACTGCATGTCTCTACTTATCGTTACAAGTTATTTGTACGTTAGGCTGTGTGCGGCTGATGTTGAAACTCAAGGTTTTCCAAAGGATCCCATTTTATAGGGTAATAATGCTTTAAAGTATACAAAATATAATCGATTGATATAATGATATGAAACCTCTCGTTGCTTTTGCAACTATCTTGAATTATTGTGTCTCATCCGACTAAACGCTGCAAAAAATGTTATCAAGTTCAATCCAAAATTACAACTGAAGCTAAACTATGCATAAGTTTTAGTTCTCTCCCAAACGGTCGTAACGGTCGTAACACTGTTTATGCGCCTGATTCCATTTTTAGTAAATTATTTTTTGCTCCGGGGATTTATTCTTCTAGCAGAGTTAATAAAACTTGTTTAGCATTTTGCGGATCAGTAAGGTGACAGATGAAGAAATATTGTGCAGATCCGTGATCTTTGTCGACCAAAGTTGAGAATTCTGGCGTCAATGATATTGAAAATTTTAACATAATATTGAGAATTCTAACATCAATGATATTGAGCATTCTGTCATCAATGATACCGAAAGAAAGGTCATCATTTTACGACACGAGTGTCTTAAGTAAGAATGAGAACAAGAGTAAGTCATAGCTGACTAAATTGTGACATTACGGTACTTCAACTTACGGTAGAATTAATCATGCAATTTATATTTCCGTAATGGATTTATTTGGTCGTCGACTGTAAAAATTTTGGTAGTATCCATAGATTCTCTACATTTAAGCACATGAAATTTCAAATGTTCATTATTTCTTGTCTTTAGTCTTAGCATCTCCTTTTTTATTCATTCAAGAAAAAGCTACATTAAGCCTGATTTTTTCGTTCCGTATTACCTAATATTTCAAACTTTTTAGCGAACAGTTGGATTTTTTTATTAATCTAAATTATTAGAATTAGAACAATTAAAATTTTATCATGCTCAAATATAATTTATGAATTTATACACAGCCAAAGCTTTTCGATATTTCATACTTCCTTGATAAATCATTTTGTTTGATTAGATATTATAGCTATTATTTCAAGTTATTTATTAGTTAACACCTGAATTTAGCACTTGAAGTTGCAAAGCCTAAAATTGCGTTCATTATCTAATTTCAGTCATGTGCTACTTCAGGTAAGTGCCAATTTCAGGTAAGACATACACATCTATACTTTTTTCAAAAAAAATTTAAAAAATTATTTTTTTAAAAAACATGTCTAAAACAAGTTATAAAAAAATAAATAAAAATAAAAAGAACACTTGCTTAAAACAAGTTATTATATATAAAAAAAAAAGATATACATGTTTAAAACAAGTTTATTATAAAAAAAATTTTGTAAAATTTGAATTTACAGATAATGCATGTGATTACTAAGAATTTAGAAGTTTTTAACCAAATTTATCCAAATTTATTAAAATACTGTATACGTACTAATACTTTAATCTGACATTTCATATGATCATGATACTTTTTTTTTTTTGCACGAAATTTGGTTTGTTAGTAACTATTTTTTAGTACACTTTAAATTCAGACGAAGCTTTTTTTTCTTTTTACCTATTTCAAAAAGTTGTGTCTAAGCTAACTTCTCTAAATAAGAGATCATAAGAGATTAATTTTGGTGTTAACTTTCTAACGCTCTTTCGAAATTAGAAATGTTATTTGCGATTTTTTATTTGTGTAATTTTAAAATGTATAAATAAGTTACCCAGGCAATTGATTTGCACCAGCCAATCAGAGTTAATTTCACTCATGTGCTGTTATGCGGCACATTGAGTAACATTAATTCGGACAAAAAAAAAATTTCTGTTATTTTTCATTGCCTACCCAATAATGTATACGTATACATGTATACAAAGTTTACAAGTTTATAGGTCTTGGCAAATTTTGTGGAAATCGGTTAATCCGACCGGATTACAAATCATATGACTTGCGATGATCACATCTAAATTTAGTACAAACATTGGATTCGAAAATGGTAAATAATATAGAGAGAATGAATAATTGGCTTAGATAAATGGAAAAATAGCAAAGATTACGATAATATTAATGTTATCTAATGTTATCTTAAGTGTGACACATGCATATTGACTAAAAAAAAAAAAATTGTCAAATGGCATAAAACATCAAACAGTGGTATATAATTATAAACCGTGCAGATTAAAATGCATTCTCATGAGACATATTTCTATAATAATTTTATTTGGGCAAATTGAGTATTAAAAATAATTATTATAAATATGGTAATCATAAATTCTTGACTAACATGATAAACATAGGTCACTTAATAACCTATCAGTGCATCACAATAAAACTATATCTAATTACATATTCTGCAATAAGGATGTTTTTGTGAAACAGAAATAATTATATACATACATTAAAAAACTCCGGATAGCTTTAATCTTTTTAAAATGATGAGAGTATTACCAAACGATTGTATTTTAGAAATATTTAACAATCTTAAAGATTGCCGTAAAAGCTTGTTTTCATGTCTTCTTGTAAACAGAAAATGGTGTAGATATGCCATACCGATATTATGGAGTGAACTAGAAGCTTTTAAACATAGAAAACTTGTAGAAACTTGTCTTTTGAAATTAAATGAATACGAACAAAAACAATTAATTCCTTTTAATATAGCATTTCCAAAAGGTCCAAAACCATTATTTGAATACACTATTTATGTAAAAATTATCAATATAGATTCTGATGATGGGATTATAGATTGGCTCAGACACCAAAGACATGGATCTTATTATCATTATCACCATAATTATTATTATTACCTTAGGTTTATAAATGTAATTCATGCAATCAAATTTTCATTAATATTAATGTTTCTACGAACTAGCAAGAGGCTTAATGATTTAAGAGTTTGTGGTAAAATAGATACTTTATTAGTAAATATTCTTGATAAATGCGTGACATTGAGATCTTTAAAATTTTCGGACAATGAATTTAGTCCAATAGAAGTTAAGGCACTAACAAAAATACTTTATAAAAACAATGGTTTGACATCTTTGGATATTATAACTAATCAACTTGGTGCGGTGGGCGGGAAAGCATTAGCAAATGCACTTTGTAAAAATAACACACTATCTTACCTGCGTCTTTGGAATAATAAACTTGGTCCTGAAGGTGGGAAAGCATTAGTAGCAGCACTTTATATGAACACTACACTGGCATCATTAAATCTTTCAAGTAATTACCTTGATTCTGAAACAGGACATGTACTAGCTGCAGTTCTTCGTAGAAATACTGCTATAAAACATTTAAATCTTAGAAATAATCAACTTGGATCTGAAGGAGCAAAAGTATTGGCAGATTCTCTTTATTTAAATAATACTTTAGCTTCTTTAACAATTAGTAGAAATCAAATCGGTTCTGAAGGAGGAAAAGCTTTAGCAAAAGCTCTTTATAAAAACACGGCTTTAACCTACTTAAATCTTAGAGAAAATTATCTCGATAATAGTATAGGAAAATTATTGGCAGAAGCTCTTTATAAGAACGTTACTATAATTTCTTTAGAACTTTTTGGAAATGAAATTGACAATATTACTTTAGATACCATTAATAATTTACTTGTAAAAAATAAAGAAAATAATTGATATAGATTTTTTATTTAGGTGTTTCACAGATATGTTAATGTACATTAGTTATAAAATTTTAAGTCACAAATAAAATATGACTACGTACTAACTTAATGCTACGTATTCAATTCAATGACTACCACAAAAGTGTTGTATATTGCATATCTGATTTAATTTATTATTAATTTTGATTACACGTAAGCTTTTTAGGAATGTTAGTATAAACGTTTCCGAAAGCGGTTATTGATACGTATTATAGAATTATTACTAAATTTGGTTTTATTAATTAGCATTACCTCTATCTATTGCCTAGGCAGTGGGTCTAATATGATAATTTTTTTAGAAGTAGATTATTCATAGCAGAAAAATGCCGCAGTCTTGTGATCACAAACTGTCTTTAGCCATTAGTCTAATCTGAAAAAATAAGAAGTAATGTCGAAATTATAAGTGTTCCCTAAATATAGCTAACGTTGAATTTAATTTTTAAAAATCATACTACAGTACTATTACGGCATGTTCAGAATAAATTGTTGCAAACACTGCAAATCGTAATTCAAAGTTGTAACGCCGTAATACTGTATCGCCGTATTTCTTCATAATGTAAGCTGTGAAATAAAATACTGTGAAAGACGTAACGAAATCAAGATGGGATTCAATGAAAAATAGGAATTAGGGTATCTGCGCGATGTGGTTGCGCTAAAACCAGGAACGTGATGAGCTTGGTGGATTCAATCAAAAAGCACTGGTAAAAGAGATGTTTTCGGTTTTGAATTTAAGAAATATAAAAAATTGAATTTAGCTATTTTAGAAGTAGTTAGTTTTTTAATTGTTATTTTGTTAAATTATATGTATATAACTATCAAAATTAATGCATATCTCGAGAACATCTTGGTTTATTAATATTCTTCTCTTGACGTTCACATCCATATGTTTCCGATCTATAGCGCACATGCCATGCATGCCCACACTGAACATTTCATCCTTTTCTGGTAACCTTGATTACCTTAGTTGTACACAATGCTAATATACACCTAGTGATGGGCCACGCGCGGAATCCCGCACGGAATGCGCGGATTTTTTTGGATTCCGCGCGGGATTTTTAATGAGATTATTTGGCCTGCATTAGCCTGCATTAAATATCATCTGGCCTGCATTAAATATCATCCGGCCTGCATTAACATTAATGGGCCAATTTTTAATTAGTAATTGATATTGTGATTCCGGAAATCGGCGAGTCTGTCGCTAAACTAATCCAACTCTCGCGTAACCTACGGCGGCTAAGTTGAAATAGGCGTGTTAGATTTGGCTGGTGGTTTATCCGTAGGTAAGTACTTGTCTCTTCTCTGTGTCTTTCCTTTAATCTATTCTCTTACTAATCTAGTCTTCTTTTGTCTACCTCAACCCGGGATTACACTGCGTCGAATCGGGGTTGGAACTCTTCTATTACGTTACATCTTCCCCAGAAACACCCTGACGATTTCACATTCACGTGATATTAATTTATGGTGGCTTATAATTATGTATACCAAATATGTATACTTGATAATCATTATTAGAATTTCCTTTTTCGAATTAAAACGAATAAACCTTTCTTGTCTAAAAGCAATAATGATAAAGGTAAATCGATAATGGAAGCCTCAAGCTCAACTCTTGTATCAACATTACATTGCTCAGGGTGCGATCATATACAATCTATTAGTGAATTTATTAGCCCTGAAGCAAACAATACTATAAAGCAATATCAAACTTGTGTCCACTGCCGCAGTAGAACCACACAGCTAAACAGCAGAATATATTAGCAATGGAATGTTTTAGCTGTAGCGGCATTATTAGAATAGTCATTAATCAACAAATTAATATAGTGAAGATATATTTTCAATATGACTTTCTATATAATCAACCAAAAAAATAACAGTAACACAAGATATTAAAGATGTCATTAAAGAAAATATAGAATTATTACCTCATGAAATATATTCACAGCTTATAAATAAGGGTTTAAATATTTCTATCCAACAGAGTCAAGTTTACTTTTGGTGGACACAATTAGGTCAGGATAGATATAAATGTAATGAAAATGTTTTTGAATCTGCTGTTCAATGGCTTAGGGAAAAATAGCATAAAGTTATTTTAGAAGTAACACATCCTGTTCGCATACTTGCTGTTGAAACTGACCTGTATGAATTTTTTAAAACAATTAAGGTTGAAGTATATGAATGTGGCATTGATGTCACTTACAATACTAATAATCTTGGATTTGAGTTATACAGCTTTCATGTGAAATTTAATGGTATAGGATTTGCCCTTGCATATTTATTTTTAGAAAACAATGGGCACTATAAGGATGGCAGATGAACTACTTATCTTCAAATGTTTCTTACAAAAATATATGAGTTGGGAATACATTCACAATTTTTCCTTACTGATAAAGACTTCCCAGATTAATGCTGCATACTCTACTTGGGAAGGCATTAAAGTTCAACTTTGTCAATGGCATTTAAAAAGGGCAATTATGACTTGATTAGCAAGTACTAAACTTTCAAAAAATTTTTATAATCCTTTATCTGAATTTGGTCATCAATTTTCATTTAATACTACTACATCATTGCAAGAATTTTGTTCAAAAAAATACAGAAAAATTGTATATAAAATTATGAAATGTTATTTTTATCAGCATCTTCTTATACCAACAATCAATGGATAATTTTTAACAAGTACAGAAATATGTAATGCAGCTGTTCAAGAAATGTACAAGTTCTGCAAAGAACATTCACTAATTTTATTATGGAGTTATTTGTGAAGTGAGTGGTATATTGAAAAAAGATGGATTTTATGGACATGGTCATCTTATACAAAACAAATTTCAATTCTTACAACAATGATGTTTATTGAAGGCCATTAAGTAGGATTTTCTATACAAATTCATTAGACCACATCTAGATCTTATATTGTACATTTTAATTACAAAAGTAGCTACTCATCAAATGCATAAATTGTAGCAAATTCATTTTGAACATAAAAAACCAGAATGGATTAAACAACTAAAATCAGAATGAAAAAGGCTGTCATTAAATCTTATTAATAATCCATATGTAACAGATATAAATAAATAGATCTGTGGATGTAGTTATTATCTAACAAATTAATTCTATATTTGTAAACATCTTATTTAGCAAAAAGGTACTATAATATATAAATTTTTTAATCATTTAAAAAGAAATCACAATACATCATTTTTAATAGAGAAAAATTAAGATTTTATTAATATTAATATTGTAAACACAATGGTTTTATTCGATCATATTAATAGTACAACACAATATTTAAATGAGTCAGAAGAGAAGAAGGATTATGATAAAGTGTATGATGAATTAATATCTACAACAACTAAAGCACTTAATATTTTTAAAGAACAAAAAGTGATTAATAATATTCAATAGATTAAGAGCATTAAAAAAAACTTTAATTCAATTAACAAAATAGTAGATAAAATAGAGCAATACCAATGAAAAAGAATGATGCCTCTAACATGGAAAGAACATACACACAATACTCAATACCTAAATATGCAATAAATCTTAATAAGTTTAATATATTTGTCTATTTATTATTATATTTTTTTTAAACTAAATTAAAAAAAAACATGTTTTTTATATACTAGCTATCACAATTATGAATCAAAAGGTTTAATACATCAAATTTATTTTTATTACATATAAGTTTCAAATTTTAATAGTTATTTAAATCTTCATTTATTTAGCAAATTAAAATTTGGGGTTAATAAAATATTTGCAAATTCAGGATGCAAAACTTGTATTTAATTTATTCACTGCTTATTAATTTTTATTATTGCTAGCATTTAACTTTCTTAGTTGCTTTGAAATAATATAATATGGCTTAATAGAATTATATCAAACTTTGAATGCAATTAAAGAAATGATTGTGCTAGCTGTGTGAGATTATAATGGCTTATTTAATAAAGAGAATTTTTTGGTTTCATTATAAAGTAGTATAGTAAGCATTATCTCAACAATTGAATTTATACATTAAATATGAAACAATTCAGATTTTGCATTTTATAACCATCCTGTATATATATATAAATACATTATATTTTTTATTTGCCATTATGTGCCACACTTGCCACAATGGTATCATATGATTGTAAAACCATCAGGATGTTTCTGGAGAAGTTTTACATTATGGTCTTGTTACATGACTTGTGGTGAGTTGTCAATTGGTGAGTTAGTAGTTTATAAATAAATGAACGATATAGGCAATAATGGTTAACGATGGTTTATTAGTTTATTATTGCACTTAGATTTTATTATGAATTAGATATTTATTTGTACTAGAAGTTTTATTTGTATCAGGGATGACTTATTCTTGTTTCATGGAGCAGAAATGCCCTTTATTTATAATAAACATCTTATTTATATTTATAATCAATTTATGCCATAAATGCCAGATATTCCTTAAAAGGCTGATATGTTATTTAATGCATATATGGCTGAAGTAGCAGAAGTGACATAAGTACCATAAGTACCATAAATAACATTTTTGTTACTTTTCACATGACCTTGAATTGGGTAAGGATTATCATCCTAATTTGGGCACCTGTGACCTCAAAAATCAGGCTTAAAATATACATAAAAATTAGCTGCCTAATATAAAAGTATCAGAGCAGCATTTTGTTTTGAATCAAACACAAGTGCAAATTAATTGATCAAATGATTATATTATTATAATTTATTGCTTGATCTATAGGGGTTAGTATGCAAGTGGGATGTTGAAATGATGTAGTTTTTTTGATTTGAAATTTAGTAGAATCTTTTAGTAATTGTGAGAGTCTATAGTATAGTTATATAATTATGTAATATTTTCGATTAGATGATCATTAGAGTTAGTTATTGTAGGATGTAATTACATCATTAGAGTTTGTGATAACAGCACCCAGAAAAGTGTATCAGATTGGGTACAGCAGAGACAGTGCCTAATCCAAAGTAAATCTCTTTTGT